TTTTATGCTTTATTGGCATGTTCCTAAGGAGTTTCTATGGAGTCGTAGGATGCATTAGCCTGCTTTGTCTATTTGTCTGCTAGGTGCATGTCAAAGTAGCATTCATTTGAATGCCATGACCAAAGGATTGCTAGGCATGTTATGCATTGCAAAGCTAAGTGACCTATAAGTTTAATCGTGTGTGTGTGTGTGTGTGTGTGTGTGGATCAGAATCTGAGCAGTTTTTAATTGAACGCAGTCACAACTCGTGTTTTCAAAGTCACCCAAATTAGTGCTTGCTAATACAGCTGATCTAATTAAAATCTCCAAAAATCCACATAGTGTCTCACAGTGATCTATATAATAGTATAATTAGAAATAAATCTGAAAAACACATTTACAAACTTAGAAGTTTAGTTCAGTATGTTGCTGTAAAACTATTGTAATTACTGCCAAGACAGAAGTCTCAAAGTTCTAATTTAGTAGGTTTTTTTTGTCTGCTAATACACAACCAGTACTGATATCTGTGAAAATCTAATGCCAGCTCTCCTTCATTCTGTTTCAGATCATGGATGAGACCCAAACGCAGATTGCCTGGCCTTCTAAACTGAAAATTGGAGCAAAGTCAAAAAAAGGTGAGGTTTCCCCGCTTTTTATACCAAACTCTTCCTATACTGTTGCTTGTGTGTAACTTACTTTTGGGGGGCTTAATGTTGAGCCTATAGGATGTATGGATATGACGAGCTCTATATGTTAACTTTGTTTAGGTTTTCCATCTGAAAAAACTAATAAAAAAAGGTTAATGGTTATGAGTCAGTTTGTTGTAACCAGAAAAATGTTCTTTGCAAACTCGGTGGGGTCGGATGGACAAAAAGGGGAGTATTTCAAGATTGCACTAGCATTGGTTATTAAAAATTTAATTGAAAAGATGAAAGCATTGCATGTTTTCTGTCCCTCGCAAGGCAGTAACCTCATCTTCATGGAGGAATTTTTTTCAGATTTTTGCTGCGGAGGTGGAGGGGTGGGAGTTGGTTGCCCACGCATTTATTGCCCAAGTTGTTCCAGTGCTCTGTTACCAATAAAACATTATCACGGTTATTTAAAGCTCTTCCGGGAGGGAGTGAGGCCAGGATTGAGGAGAGGGGAGGGTGAGGAGTTGGTGTAGAGATGCCCACTTTAGCAGTTCTCCTGAGGAAAACAATGCGCATCTTCAAGCCAGATGTGCAATCCAGTGACATTATGTAACTTCCTCACTCATTCTTTATGGATAAAAAGTTGATGCAAACACATCAGAATATTAAACACTTTTTCCTCTGGCTGTTTAATCAGCTGTAGGTTCTACGCAGTTCATTCGCACACACTATCCATTCACCCCAAGTATTAGTTCATTCAGAAAACCTGCCTTTGACGGCACCTGGGAATGATGTGTACAAAAAAAATGTACGTTTTTGACGCATGATGTTAGATTTTCCCCCGGTGTTGCGTAAACCGAAAGCAGCAGAGGGTAAGAGTGTTATATAATCACTTGGTTATCTTATGCATTTTTTGGGGGGGGGGGGTTGAAACTGCCCATCTGCTTTAACCACCTGGATCCTGGAATTGAAGGAAGAGGAAGGGACAACACAGCAAAATAGAGTTCATTTACCACATCAGCCATTCTGTAAACTTCAGGAAATGAAGAAACACAGATTTTATCCACCTTTTATTGAACACAAAATTAGTCCAACACAAAACTCACCTGCTCTGCTCTTGACAGAAGATGACGGAGCAGATTATGTTCCGTTATTTTTATCTAAAATCACACTCTTTAATAGCATTAGCTTTCCTTGTTTCCCTGGAATTTTCATGTGCAGTCTGGAATTGATTACACTCGGTGGGATAGCAGCAGATGTGAGGGGATCTGTATGTTTTGTAACCTCTGCGTATGGCGAGCCGCACTTCATCAAAATGCCAGCTCTGCTGTTTCATTCATCACCTGCAGCTAGCCATCTCTACCGCCTGCATAGGAGCGATAAGGCAAGTTGGTAGCCTCTGGGACAAGCCGTCATCAGCACCTAGCCTGCAGTTTATCATAATGAGGAGCCATATCGCTCATGCACAAGACATGTACGTGTAGCAATTTAAGGACACCGGAGTGGTCAGTGTTGGTTTATTGGCGTCTCAGAAAGTCTCATTTTTTTGTTTTTTTTTTACCATTACGGATAATTGTTTTAAAGCTACTTCCAGTTGCCAGTTGTGTTTCACTGTTTCCGCAGATGTTTTGAACGCTAAGTCAACAGGATTTTAATTCTCTTCATTTGTGTGGTATTTTCTAATGCAGTCCTTCGCTGGAAAAATGCTTCAGCTTTGCCAGGCCAGAGCTCTGGGTCAAAAGGTTTCTTCTCTGTCAAGTGGAACAATAAAAATCTGTGTGACTGAAAACATTCACCTTTCGCAGCTACAGGTCTACTCTTGTTTTTGTTTGTTTTCATAGGTGTTGTGCGTGCCAAATTAGGACTTAAGGTGTTTTGTTTTTTTTATACATATATATTCAACAATCATTCATCAAATACAAAATGGGGGGGGTGGAGAAAAAGCACAGAGCACACACCACTTCAAAAATGCGGGGGTGTTCTGCATCACGACTGCGGCACTCATTTAGGCTGGCTAATGTTTGCCAGATGTGCTGTGCAGGTTGGAGTGGGGACACTGAAAGGGCCATACTCCCTCTAACGGTTACAGGAGGAAGTTGAGTGATTTGTTGTTCACGACAGCTGAATGATGGGAAAATTCCCTGGAACAGTGCTGAGGTTGTGATAGATCTCTGACCACTCTTTGTGCTTGTTTTTTTTTTTTCTCTGTTTTGTTTTCCTGTCTGACTTCAGCTTTTTTTTTTTTTTTTTTTTGTGAGTTCTTAACCCGCAAACAATCTGTGAGCTGTTGTTCCTCCCTCCTGTGATGCAGCATCTTTTGGAGTCTTGAGGTTGTCTGACCCTTTTGGCACTCTTAACAAGATCTGTGCTTGTTTGTTGATGCATATCAAACTAATAACATTTGCTTCCTTTGTAAATACAAAAAAGAAACTACTCTGACTGTTTTCTTTTCTATGCTTCTCATATCTGACCCATGCAGGACTTTTCACTCCTAAGCTTCTTGGAAGACTAAACACGCTAGCACGAGTTTCTCGAAGGTCCCGGTGACTTTGTAACAATAAATCTGCTTCAACAAGTCCTGTCTGAGGACTACGCTGTACATCTGTGATCCTGTGTTTGTGTGTGCATGGTTAGGAGTGTTCCTGGAAGGGGGCTTTGTGGACTTCCTGCTGCTCGGTACAGTTAACACGTGGGCGATGGACCGTGGACGTGTAGTACATGAATGTGTGCACGTGAACACACACGCACATATTTGTGTTTTTGCGTTTGCATTCTCCAGGGGTCCTGCATGCAGCAGTGCCAGATGTATTCTTACCCAATGCTACACAGACAAAACCATTAGCTGTGAAAAGTTTAGCTATGCAGTGTTTGTGCTGAGAAGCTGAGGAGGCACAGTTTATTCACTGCTTGGACATTTCTTGCGCGATCCTTTTGTGGTTGCTGAGTGTATTTACTCAGAAATTTTAAATGCTTCAAAGTGGTGCGTTTATCACTAGTTTGCATTTGGGTAAACACTTCTGGGTCTTGGAGTGACTGCTAATATGGCCAGGGATAGCTCAGTAGGTAGAGTGGTGGCCCCATGATCGGAAGGTCGGGGGTTCGATTCCCCTGAACAGCTACCCTGAGGTACCGTCCCTACACACTGCTCCCCGGGCGCCCAGTGGCTGCCCACTGCTTCACTGAGTGAATGGGTTAAATGCAGAGAAGGATTTTCCCCACGGGGACCAATAAAGTACACCTAATAAACACCAGAATACAGTCAGTGATCTTTAGCAGTATTTGAGAAAGAAGCTGAAGGAGGTTGACAGAATGAGGTTCAGAAAAGAGAAGGTGAAGGTGTCTGTCTTCTATTTAGGCAAAATTGCAGCTCAAGATTTGTTTTTGTTTTTTTGTTGTTTTTTTTTAACAGCTCATAGTTTTTTGAGATTGCCTGAATGTAATTCCAGAGGTGCTCCTCTTCCCCAATCACCACATGGCATTTGCTTGCCAATAAAAATGAGACTCGGCAGATATAAAAGCAGCAATTACTGTCACACAGCTTTTGTCTGACGCACTGTAATTTGTTGACAAGTGGAGACTTTTTGTGTCATATTTGGATTGAACTTGTCGCATTCTGCCTCTGCTCATTGTCAGCACCAAGTCACGCACGCACATAGCATACTTCTACAGACGTTAAACACATGCCGTCCGCCTCGTTATTAACGTCTGCCCGTCTCTTCTTTCCTTGCCAGATCCACACATCAAGGTGTGCGGGAAGAGGGAGAATGTAAGGGAAGCCAAAGACCGAATAATGTCTGTCCTCGATACAAAGGTAAAGAAAACACCTTCATCACAGTGATTTAAAAAAACGTCCTTTGTGTGTAAACGGGCAGCTCTCAGTCTTCTGTTTCCTGCTGAAGGTGTTTTTCACTCATTTGTTATCAGGTTTATTTCACCTGAACTCTCCCACTGACAGCAATCAACTTTCCACTAATCAATCCCAACACTCAAGTCTTGAGTTTCTCAGTTTTGCAGTGTGTGCATGCAGGCTCCGTTGCCATGACAGCAAAAGAATTCACATAGTTGGGTGACTGGGCTCTAGCACACCCTAGGGGCAAGAGGTCGCTTGTGCACTTTGTACAGCAACCCACACGGAAGAGCTGCACCCAACTGGCATTGTTTATAGCATTTTATATGTTTTTGTCACGAAAAGGCCTTTTTTTCCCCCCCTGGAATACACAGAATTATTTCAGAATTTTTATTTGCTTCATTCATTTTTTTAATAAACAGCATATTTTGTTGCTTTGATTCTGTTCTAAATGAGTGCAGCATGTGAGTGTGTTTTTTAAAGAGTGGAAAATTGCAAAAGTAATGACTTTGTGACTGTTTAGATGGCGTAAAGGGGGACACGTGTTCAACAGGCCTTTCAGTGAACCAGGATTTACAATCAGAGAAATAGCAGGGGAATCAGGGAATCTTGGACCTCTTTGTTGTTTAATATTGTAAGGTATTTACTTTACAGTGTCTTAAAATGCCTCGAATATTGCTGGTAATTGGCAATCTATAAATACAACTAAAAGAAATTAAAATATCACCAAAAAAGCGAGAGGTCTATTAGCTTGTTTGTTTTTTGTTGAACACACAGTTGTAGCTCGGGGAGACTATAAACTCCACAGTATGTACCAGATGGTTGCTTTACCCATGGGCCGGATGGGTGTATTTACTAGAAATATCTTCATTAGTGCAAAGCTGTAAATGCAGTTTTGTTTTGCTTTTTTCCTTTAGTTTATGTACAATGTTCTGTACTTTTCTCACCTCACTGATATTTTTCAAGGGTTATCAGTCATCTTCTCAACCACTATCACTCTTTCTTCTCATTAGAGTAACAGGGTGACTCTGAAGATGGATGTTTCCCACACAGAGCATTCACACGTTATTGGCAAAGGAGGCAACAACATCAAGAGGGTGATGGAGGAGACGGGGTGTCACATCCATTTCCCAGACTCTAACAGGAACAACCAGGCAGAGAAAAGCAACCAGGTTTGAACCTTTTCTTTAATGTCTTGGATCACTGCTTTGCATTCTGCTGCCCAGAGTGTTTCCTACCATCATCCCTTAAAAACAGATTTTCTTAGGTTTCAGGTTCTAAATAACTCTTTGATCTGTGTATGCAGCCCTCCAATCCATTTACTAGCTGTCACGGGGTCTCAGTCTGGACAGGTTGCAGAGAGTTGGTTCACTCGGGTGTTTTGATTGGCCAGCTCAGAGGAAGCTAGTATGTTTTGGCTGGCCTCACTAGAATAGCACTAGGATCCTGCTGTAATTACCATTTAAAGTATAGTAAGAGGAGTTGAGGAGAGGTCCAAGCATTAGATATCTGCTCTACACCTGTGTATGAAAGAACTGACAAGTTCTTTATTTTCAAAGGTCTACTCACCTTACTCTTACGGTTTCTCTGTGGGCTTTGCATAAAACAGTTTGCACTTATTCCAGATGTAGATGGTTAAGCTACTCCCCTCAGAACTCTGTATTTTGTGCATTGCTCAATCCCCTCCAGTCTGATGATGCAAGTATGGGCTGATAAGCAGCAACACTCTCCTTTTAGGCCCTTTAAGCTGCGTCTGTTCTCTGGTATCAAAAGCTTTCAGTCTGCATCAGAGCCTTTGAGAGGGCAGGCATATTGACAGTACAGTTTTATTGATGAGCACATGGTACATTACTGTGAAACTCAATGAAGGGGCTACTTTTGATTCTCAGTAAAGCTGATGAGCTTCAGGATATTGTTGAATCACACTTAAGCAAAGCTTTTTTTATGTTAAAATCTACAGTGCAAGTGTATATTTGAAGATTTTCTTCATGTAGCAGAGGTGAATTAGAGTGACCTGCTTTGTGTTGATTTAATTTTTTCTTTTGACAGCAACACTTAAACTTTATATTTGTTTTGGCACTGTAGCTGTGTACCGTGCTTAAGGTCTTTCATGGATAGCGCTGCTGAATCGACTTTAGAGTGAGGAACGAGGATCAGAACAGAAAAAGCTAATGAGATCATTTATCACCCTTTTCATTAGTCTTTAAATTTAGTTCATCTGGCCTCTTTTTGGTGGTTATGCTTAAAAATTACTTGGTTAAATTTGCACGGTTGTTTTTACATTCACAGTGAATTGCATCATTGAGTCGAGCAGATTCATGACACGGTTCAAAACATTGCCTGCAAAGATGTCACAATTACATGAAACCGTATGCAAAGTACCTTAGTCTTGTATTTATCTTGGAGTGCGGGGGAACTGGATGACTGATTTACATCATTTACTTTTTATTATGAACAGGTGTCCATCGCAGGGCAGCCAGGCGGGGTGGAGGCAGCTCGAGTAAAAATAAGGGTAAGTTGGAATTCAGCCACGTTTGTCTTTGAGGGATACTCCACCCATAATTTTGAGTATCAAAGGCACATTCCCTGCAGACTGTTAAATTTGCACTTTTAACCTCCGTGGAGCAGACCGACTGTGCTCAGTTTACATTTCTGAAAGTTGCCGCTGATTTTAGTGCTGACCAATTTCTTTAAGAATAGATTTCAGTGTTATTTTGTAGTGCAGAGTTCAGCCAGATTGGACTGTTTTTAACAGAAAATCACAAGGCTGCCTAATCCATCCCACTTGACGGTAGGATTGAGTTGTTGATTGGGAAATGTTGATTTCTCATGATGTAAAAAAATGGTGAGAATGAAGGATTTTGCTCAGCTGTACTAAGTAACAGCAACTGCAAGTACGAGTCTGTGTTTGAAACGATGTATAACAAATAATAAGAGTATTGCCCTAAATTTCCCTCCACCTATGCCGTTTCCTGTTTTCCTTTGCCTTTGGCTGCTCCATCGGAGTACATTTGACCAGGCAAAATTTCAGCTGGACTGCAGTATCCAAGTGTCCATGTCTTGATCCTCTGGTCAACTTGGTCTCTCCAGCTTGTGTCATCTGAAATACTGTGCTTACCAGCACCAGCATGTCCAGTACTATTCGATAATTACTTGACATGAAGTTAAAATAATTAAGGACAAAAGTTTAAGACAAGAAATAGTCACATAAACTAGATTTTAAAGAATATTCTAAAGGACATTTGAAAATGTGTAAATCATGACCATGCTCAAGAAAATGTCAAAATTAGGACAGTCGAGTCAAGTCGCGCACCTAATCCTTCAGTGGAAAAGCTCCAACCTTTACAGTAGGTAAATATGTGGCCCAGGCATAGTTTCGACACTTCGTCTAAGCCACAAGCACCATTCCCTACTTATTCCCAGTCCACTTCCCAAGAACAATTGTAAAATAAAAGCATGAGCAACGCTCCCTCTGGCAAGTCTATCTCAAACCCATTTTCTAGCATTTTTTCCATCTTCAGTTTCATTCTGACGGGAAGCCCAACCTTCAGCTTCATCTCTGAGAGCAAAAAGACCTCGTGTGCTTGTGTGACCTACTACATCTTTAGACTTTTACTGTATTTCAACACCACAGCAGTTGTCTAAAGTGAGCACATTCCTCCGCTATGAACTGACCAAAACTAACATGGCGATGTGTGCTTTTGAGAAAGACAGAGTGAGTGTGTGCTGGAGGGAAAAGACAGGAAGACAAGGTCACGCTGGATGTTGTTGCAGTGCGTACTGGCAAATGTCTGCATGCATGTACCCATATCTCTCCATGTTTAATGGGTGTTTTCATAAGCAACAAATCAAATCCCAGATCATCTGCTTTCTTTGCTATGGATGAGGGGAAAAGAATAATCAAACCGAACCATACCAGTGTTGTACAAAGAACCACAAAGAGTTTTGTGTCCTCGAGAGAAGACGCAGTCAGCAGACAAGTGAGCTGAATAATAAGAGTTTCCTCTCCTGTCTGTCAGCTTGGTTTCTTTCAGTGGAAACCTTGATACTTACCTAGTCCTGGAATAGCCAAACATATTGTATGTGCTGTCAACAGTGTTATAAATTTGACATCCAGTTTAAGGCAGCTGTCGATGAAGGAGTGTTATAGTTTGTGCTCGGGCATGATTAGCGATCAGGCTACATGCGCCCACTTCTTAAAGCAGATTAGGGCACGGTTCGCTTGACTGCACCGTGGCAGAGCAGTCACGATACTCAAACAGACGGGCACAGTACAAATCGCCTAACATTGTATACATTTCATCTGGTCAGCGTTATGTCAACATACTTTAGATGTTTACGTGGTATACCTGCGTCCTGTAGTCATCACCGACTTGGATTCCATCTCACCAAACAGAATATTTATACAAAGCCTTGGACATGCCATCAGAAGCTGTATCCCTGTTTGCCTGGAGACAAATCAATGGCTTGATTTAGTTTTGTTGACATCTTTTATAATGTGTTAAACTGCTACTGTAGTAACTTTATCTTGAGGTGGAGTTTTTCCCCTCTCAACACCTCGCCCTGTCCCGCCTCTTATCCCCTCTGAAAATATCTCGAAGTGTCTACATTTTAATTTAGTTTTAGCCATTTGACTTTTTATATTGTTTATATTTTCATAATCTCCTCCCCGGTGCTCCTGTGGTTCATTTTTCCATTTCCAGCTCTGACAGTCTGCCATACTTCTTTCACTTGGTCAGAAAGTTGGATCAATATAAAAAAAAAAAAAAATCACAGTAGAGAGGGGGAAAAGGGGGGAAAAACGAACCATGATTAAGTTTTTCTGGTATCAAGTATTTTTGTTGCACCAGTGTTTATCTTTTCAGTTTCACATCAGTAATTCTGGCTTGGATTAAACTCAAAAGTCAGAAGGTCCAGACAAAACAAGCCAGGTGTGTAAACACACTCAGACTGATTATTGAAGGACTAATCTTTTTCTTTTTCTTTTTTTCTTTCCCTACATTTGGTGTGAAGTCAGCAGATAATTCATCACCCTGGATCTGTTAAAATATAAAGGAAAACTGTCCCCCACGTTTTCTAAAGCCCACTAAGTGCCAGAGCTTGTCTAATTTCTTAAAACTTAATTGTTAAGATAACCTAAGATGCGTTTCTGGGCTCACCCTCATCATCCAGTGCATGCCGAGTGGCATCGATCTTGAGGGAGGGGGAAAAAAGTGGACTCGACGGTTATTTCGAATCTTTTTATTTTTTAAGTTGTGTTGAAATTGAAAAATTCCGCAGTAAAATGCATGAGGTTAGAGAGTTTACCTCAGTTTCTTGTCCTCCTACATAACTCCTACAGTTATGGTTGCTAGTTAGACAGAGTACTATCTTCTGGGTGGGCATTAGACCACATCCTCCCCAGTCGTCTTCTAAAACCAGAAGTGGCTGGTTTGTTCCTGCATTAGCAATGCAGCTAAGGGAGAATCATGTCCCTTAATCATTCAGACACACCGCAGTGGACCTACAAGGTCTGCCGTACTTCTGATGCCTTCTTGGGTGGAGATCTGTTTGACTCTGTAACAAGCCAGTTGTTGAGGTGATGGATTCTTGGGGGATTTAATGTGGCTTTCGGAGATGGAGCTGGCAGGTAGGTGATGAAAGGTCTAGCTAGTTGCGTTACCTCAAAGATATTTTCATTTTTCTTCATCCCTCACCCTTATGTCAGGACAAGTGAGGCCTTTGAACAGCACTTTCTGTTTGAATACATGTGAAACCCATATTTGCCAAGCTGTCCTTTTTGAAAAAAGCTGAACTCAGCTCCGCCGTGAAAATCAGCCTATTCTTCATTCAGTTCTCGACTCCTGCTGGTCTGCTTGTCCTCCCTTGCATTTCCCTCAGTGCTGACCTAAATTTCTCGAACCCTCGGAGAGCGAGTGCTGAAACGTGATATAAATGTAAGGCCAAGCGCATATGGGACTGATCAGGGATGCATTTCTTTGGTCAGAGCAATTCATGCTGCTTGCCCTTCACTGGCAGCCAAAACCATAGTGGCGCTCTGCCCAAGAGTCAGTGTTTGGATAAGTGTGTGCGTGTGTGTGTTCATTGTCTTTATGAGTGTGTATATGTGCATTCCCTTCAGTTTTTCTGTATAAGGGTGTGCCTGTGTGATTTATCTCTCGTGTGTGTGTGTGTGTGTGTGTGTGTGTGTGTGTGTGTGTGTGTGTGTGTGTGTGTGTGT